AGGACCCCCTTGGCTATTCCTTTTTTCTCATCGACAAACAGATGAAATGGTTTAGTGGGGTCAGGTAATGTCAATGCTGGGGCCTTAAGGAGTGCTTCCTTAAGTTGTTTAAAAGCTGAGTCCCTCTCTGGGGTCCAGTTCCACTCTGACCCTTCTCTTCTGAGCTCATAGAGTGACATCGCTTTTGTGGTGAAATCTAAAATCCACAGCCTGCAATAACCTACTGTTCCTAAAAATTCTCTTATCTGCCTCGGGCTTGTGGGTCAGGGAATCTGTAGGATAGTCTGTTTCACGGCTTCAGTGAGCCACCTCTGCCCAGCTCTCAACTTATACCCCAAGTATGTGACTTCTGGCTTATCTATCTGAGCTTTCTTGGCACTAGCTCAATATCCCAGTTCTCCTAGAGTGGTGAGAAGTTTCCTGGTTGCTTCAAAGCACCCTGCCCAGTCAGGGGCTGCTATTAACAAGTCATCCACATATTGTAGTAAAGTTACGTGCGGGTTTTGACCCCGGTACTCATGTAAGTCGTCACTCAAGGCCTCGTTGAACAAAGTGGGTGAGTTCTTGAACCCTTAGACTAATCTTGTCCAGGTCAGCTGGCTGAGGACTTTATCCGTTTCGTCAAACCATTTGAAGGCAAAAATGTCTTGACTCTGCGGGGCTAGGGGCAGGCTAAAGAAAGCATCCTTCAAGCCCAAGGTAGTATACCACACATGATCTGGAGGAATATTGCTGAGCAGCATGTAAGGGTTAGGGACTGTGGGATATATGTCTTCAACCCGGCGATTTACCTCTCTCAGATCCTGCACCGGTCGGTATTCTCCCTCTGGTTTCTTTACTGGTAGGAGAGGTGTATTCCATGCAGACCGGCACCTCTTTAGTACCCCTTCCCATAATCGCCGCTGGATATGGGGTTGTATGCCTTCCCGGGATTTCCTGGGCATGGGATACTGTCGGACTCTTACAGGTATGGCAGAGGGTTTTAAGTCCACAATGATGGGCGGTCGGTGTGTCGCAAATCCAATTCCTCCAGTCTCTGCCCAGGCTTGGGGAAACTCCTCCAGCCACGGAGTCATATCCGTCAAGCCTGTATGTTGGTCTTCTACACCTTTATACAAGCAGTATTCATTGTGTAAGGCAATCGTTAGAACCTGCAGAGAGCCTTCCCCATCAGTAACCTGGACACCATTTTTATGGAAGAATATATGTGCTTGAGCTTTGAACAATAAGTCTCTTCCTAACAGTGGTGCAGGACAGTCAGGTACAATTAAGAATAAATGGGACACCCATTTAGTTCCCAGGTTCACTTGTCGCTGCGTTGTCCAATGATACCACTTTGCCCCTGTTGCCCCCTGGACCAGGCTATTTTTTGAAGAAATCTTTCCCTCTTTCTTATTGAGGATGGAGTACTGAGCCCCTGTATCTACCAGGAACTCTACTGGCTTCCCCTCCACCTTCAAGGTTACCCAAGACTCAGGGAGGGGTTCTGAGTCCCATCTCCCCTAGTCTCTGTCCTCGCCTGTCACCAATGTTCTAACAGGAGCAGGCTTTTCACATTTTTTGTTCTCTTTCTTTGGGCATTCATTCTTCCAGTGTCCAGTCCCTTTGCAAAATGCGCATTGGTTCGGGGCCAGGGGTGAGTCTCAGCGGGGCCTGTCATGTTGGTCTGGTCTCCTTCCTCTCCCTCTCCCTATGTCTCCCCGAGCTCCAGCAAAGAAAATCTTTGCTAACTCCTTCTGATTTTGTTTATTCTCTTTAGCTTGGAATTCTCCTTCCTCCCTCCATATTCTTTCCTCCCTTTCCTTTGGGGTTTCTCTAGTATTATATACCTTTTCAGCTACTTTCATTAAGTCCTGTAGGGTCTGCTCACCTAATCTATCTATCTTCTGAAGGTTCCTTCTGATATCAGGGGCCGCTTGGTTTACAAAAGATAGGACCACTGCTGCTCTACTCTCATCGGCTTGTGGGTCCATAGGGGTATACAGCCTAAATGCTTCCATTAACCTCTCTAGATATGCTGCAGGGCTCTCTGTCAGTTCCTGTCTGACTGAGTTTACCTTGGCCAAATTAGTCGGCTTCCTCGCTGCCGCTCGGAGACCGGCCATTAGAATCTGGCGGTACTTTTGGAGACGCTCCCTACCTTTTAAAGCTCAAAATCCCAATCGGGATGAGATAACGGGAACCCAGCATCAATAAGATTCTGTAGCGTTGTTGGCTGTCCATTGTCCCCTGGTACATTCTTCCTGGCCTTGGTCAGGATTCTCTCTTTCTTCAGTGGTGAACAAAACCTGTAATAGCTGTTGACAATCATCCCAAGTGGGGTTATGAGTAAACAATATAGAATCTAACAAATTAATTAAGCTTTGGGGGTTTTCAGAAAAGGGGGTGTTCTGCGCTTTCCAGTTATACAGGTCCGACATTGAAAATGGCCAGTACTGCAAGGTTCTGCTTCCATCCTCATGACGTGGGCCTATCGCTCTGAGGGGAAGTGCCTGGACAGTGGACGAGGGGCTTCAGCCTCCTGGGAGCCCCTCTGGCGTGGGCAAAGACCAGAAGCTGGGCCCATAATGGCGGGTGGCGCACTCAGAGCACTCGCTCCACTTCCTCCCGATACTTGTGGAGCCTGGAGAGGGTGGGAAGGTGGTGTAGGGGCATAGGGAGGTGGAGATATGCCACTTTCTAGATCTATCAGATAGGGGTGAGTTTGGGAATCAGACAGAACTGGCGGAACGGCCACTCGGGACTCAGGTCGTCTCGGTTTCTCCTTTTCGCTAGTCCCGAGTGAGGATGTTAATACCTTGACAGAGAGATTCGGAAGAATGTTTTAGCCATGGGGAGGGTTAGTCACCATATCTTGCCACACTAAAATGTAAGGAAATTGGTCTAGGTGCCCATGGGGGCCTGGAACTTGGACTCAGTCGAATATGGCAGCAATCACCTGTCCATCCAATGAGCCTTCTGGAGGCCATCCTACCTTAAAAGAGGGCCATTCTGAAGAACAAAATGTTATTAGTTTATTTTTTTTTAATTATCACAGACAAATTAGATCCTCTGGTTTTAAACTATGAAAAATGTTCAACCATCAGGGACAGAGGGGTAGTCTGTCCCTGTCCCACTTCAACCTCTTTTAAGAAAACACAGAACAAATAAAAGACAAGTGGCCACACAACAAGAGACACCAAAGCAGACAACACAAATATCCGACACCCAGAAGAGATCTCGTTCCAGTACCACAGATCGGAGGTGCCTCTGCCCTTCCCCTGAAGGGGGATACTCTTACCAAAAAGCACCCACAGCCTGCCTGCTTGTTGGGGAAGGTCTCCTTCCCCAACTCCTCCGGCATGTCCGCCAGTTTTCCAGCCTTTCCTGATGGACCAGTATCCTTACGCAAAGGACGTATCCTGGTCCTGCCGGCTCCTGAATTTTCCTCTATCACAGGCAACTTCACTTGTTCCGAACTTTCCTTTCCCGGCCAACGCACCAAATGTTGGACTCAGGTCTTGAAAGGAGTGTCAGCGTGAGGAAGCTACCACTGACACGATAATGCAAAAGCAAAAGGAAAGTTTATTAGCTAGCTCGAGCTAGGGTCTCTGCTTACACAGATGCAGCGGTTTGGGCAAAAGACCCCGTGTTCTACTACAATTACAATTTTATAGGAAAAATACAGGGTGGAGTAACATAAAAGCAAGGAGGTATTAGTCGATAAATGATTGGTTGTTGCTAGGGGGTAGAAAAGGAGGGGAGGGGGTTTCAGGGCTGTGTGAGGTAAAGCCCTGAGGCATGGGGAACATGCTGGAGTTCCCGGCCCTAATGGCTCCTGGTTAAAGAATAATTACCTAGAGGACAGGGGGTCTTAGGGCCCTGTGAGGTAAAGCCCTGGTGCTAATGGCTCCTGGTTAAAGAATAATTACCTAGAGGGCATTAGTACAAAACGAGTGGACTCACAGCCCAGTCTTCCTTCCAAGGAGTGGCTGGTGGAGGGGGAGACCAGGTTTGCTTGTCTGATAGAGCCTGGTGGAACCACTGAGACTATGGCCCCTTGCTGCCCTTCAGGTCTGGAATTGAACCCACACCTGTGGCTTCTAGACAAACAAAAGACAGGCATATGAATTGAACATGTACCAGAGGTATACCCCTTGGAGAGAACAATCATGGGAGAAAGAAGGGCTGTTTATGCACAGGGAGACAGCTCAGGGGGCAGGAGTCCATGGAGGGATGGATACAGGGAAGAGGTAACTATCCAGAGGAAGTGGGAGGGGAGCTGTTGCATTGTGGTAAATTGTAATCAATGTCATGAGACAAAGTGTATGTGAACTGCTGTATGGAAAGTGAAGTTGCTCTGTAAATTTTCACCCAAATCACACACACACACAAAAAGGAATGGGTGGTGGATTTGAACCACCAGCCTTCTGGTTAGCAGTCAAATGCCTTAGGCACGATGTCATCAGAGCTCTCCACTCAACAGCAGGATGAGGTGAAAAGCAAAAGCATTTATTGTTTATGGATACCCAAGGAGACAGGGTCATCTTGTCTGTCAGACTGTCTTCTAAGCTGAGAAAAGGTTAGGGTTTTAAAGGGAATTGGCTGAGGGGTAGGGAGATTGAGGAATGTTTATAATGCTTTCTTCTTATTATCAGGATGAGTGGTCTTTGCCTTGTGACCTTTTTGTTATTCTTCCAGTCAGTGATATAAACTGGCCTTGGTCAGGATAAATTGTTTTACAAGCTCCTTGCATCTGCTTGGAAAGATTAACTTTACAAGGAGGGGAGAATGTGGGAATGGGTACACTCAGGCCTATAAGGAAGGATAAGGAGGAATGTGGGAGTTAGTGCCTGGTGGCCTATAAAGAGAGAAAAAGGAAAAAAAATAGCCTATTCCCTTAGGCTATTTTACTCCCTGAGGGGCTATAACAGGACTTAATCCTAAAGAAAACATCAGGGATACAAAAGTTTTCTACACCATCTTCTTTATTACAGTGCCACTTACAATAGCACAAATTTTGGGGAAAAAAAATTTAATGATCAACTAGAATATTGAGCAGAACAGAAAAAAGAAAATGCAGATAAACATGAGGGAGGGGAATAACTTTCTGCCATTGAAGTGATTCCAATTTATAGAGACTCCATAGTACTGGGTAGAACTGCCCTATAGGGGATGGCTATATTCCTTACAGAAGCAGACTGCCAAAGCCACATCTTTCTTCCAGGGACTAGCTAGTGGGTTCAAACTGCAGACCTTTCAGCTAGCAGCTGGGTTCAAACTCTGGCACAAGGCTTTTTGGAAAGTGGAATACAACCAAACCAAAACCAAACTCACTACCATCAAGTCACATCTGACTCAGAGCAACCCCTCCTTGGGTTTCTGAGGCGGTATCACTACAGAAGTAGATTGCTCAACCTTCCTTCCAAGGAGTGGCTGGTGGGATTTGAACCACCAGTCTTCTGGTTAGCAGTCAAATGCCTTAGGCACTGCACCACCAGAGCTCCTACAACCAGGAAATATTTTAAAAATATATGGACATCCTGGAAAATTTGTGAAACTTTATGTTGGATCTGAATTCTGCCATACTGTTTGCTGTTCATGGGTTCATCAGCTCCTGCAGCTGTGTGAGTCAGGAATAGCCTCCAGCTTGACACTTGACCCACAAACTTGGGACTTGCCAGCCTCTAAAACTGTGTGCACCATTTCCCTGTGATAAATCTCTCTCTCTCTCTCTCTCTCTCTCTCTCTATATATATATATATATATATATATATATATAAAATATACAGTGTTTGCTTTATCCTGCTTTCCTGCTTGGAGGTCTCTGAGCATGTTGGATTTGGATTTGTAGACCCATGTCCTTCTTGAAATTCATGAATTTTTGTGTCATTTCTTCAAATATTTTTTTCTGTCCCTTTCTTTCTCTCATCTCCTGATTCCCATGATCCATATATTAGGTCCTTGATGTTGTCTCATAATTCCATTAAACTGTGGTCAGAAGTCTTAAGCCTCCATTCTTGTTGATCTTCAACCCCTATAATTTCAACTGTATTATCCTCTGATTTGCTGATTCTTTCTTCTGACTGATTAAATTTGTTGTTAAATCTTTCTATTGTGTTTCTCATTTAAGTCATTGTTCCTCCCATTGCAATATTTCTGTTTAGTTTCAATTTATCTCTTTTTTTAAAAAATTCTCATTTCTTTTAGATCTTTGTCTATGTTTTCCCTTAAGTTTATAATTATGTTTAATGTTGTTATATTATATTCTTCCTTTTTTGCCCATTTGGTCATCCTTAGATGTGTTTTCACTCCCTTCATTATGTTTATTTGGATGGGTCATTGTTTCTCTGTTCTTTGTGTGTTTTGTGATTTTTTTTTTGTTGTTGTTTTTTGGAGCACTGGAAAACTTCAAAAGTGTTAATTTTCTCAATTATTAATGTTTTTGCTTGCACAACTCACTGCAAAAAAACTCTCAGGCGGGCAGAGCCTTTGGGTTTTGCTTACGGTTTCCTATCTCTCTCTCTTTCTCTGTAATAGCTCTTTCTTCCTCCCTAATTTAATTAAAAGTTGAAAGTTCCAGTGTGATTGTGTGTCAACTTGACTGGGCCATGATTTTGAGTGACATGGCAGCTAGATGTAGTTATTCCCCATGATGAGATTGGATGTGGTGTAATCAACTCCATGGTGGAATTTGCGGTAAGCAGCTAATTCATTGCCTCCAGGATATGACCTGCTTCCAGTATATATGGAGAAGCTTTCAGAAGTCTCTAGCTTTTTGGCACATTTTGGATCCTGCATTTGGCTGAGTCTTCATCTCTAGTTCCTAGACTTGAACCATGACCTGCTGTTGCCTGCTGATCTTTGGATTGTGCCATTTTACTCACCAGTCTTGGGTTTGTCAGCATCAGCAGCCAATAGCTGCAAGAGTCAGAGGAAGCCTCCAGCTCCAGTGGGCCTGGAACAAGAGGCAGAGCTGAAGTCCAAGATCAAGGGACCTTCACCCAGTGCCTAGAGATGACACTCCGAATTTGGACTTCTAGCCTCCTAAACTGTAAAAGAATAAATTCCTGGTTTGTAAAGACATCCATTTGTGGTATTTCTGCTATAGTAAAACTAGGAACCAAGACATCCAGATTTTGGTTCTCAACTTTCAATGTCTCCTAAACAAACCAGAGAACATGTCATAATCAATTGGTCCACCAGAGGGTGCCATCCTTTCTCAGATTATTACTCAGGTGAGAAGCTGCACATTAATCAATCTGTCTACTAGGAGCACAGTCTTTTCTCCCTCCTCTGCTCTGTTTCCACAACTACATTTTCAGTCAGAAAGTGCACACACACCTTGAGCTCCCTGTGGGATTTAGCAGTGCCTTGGTTTTGGCCAAGGCTTTCTTACCTTTTCTATAGAGGCCTTTTATATCTGATCTGGCATTGAAGG